GATGCAGATGGCATGTTATGATGTTTGAGGAGGAAGGAAGATTATTTCTTTTGGTGCTATCTCTCTCAAAAGGAGAGATCAGACATGACTACTTCCCTGTCACCCATGGAGCTCAGGTCCTGCAGCAGGGACTGCTTAGGGTTCCAACTGCAACTTAACCCACCAGTGGTTGTTTGGGTCCTCTCCAACTGTTAGAGACCCTTTGAAGCAGAATGGTGTTTGCAAAGGGAGGAGTGTCCTCAGGTCTTCTCCCATTGCCTTACCCTATGGCCATACCCATTTCTCAAGGTATTAGATGCACTGATTCCTTATCTGAAATGGAGCAAACTTATAATGTTTCTTCCTAATCATGGGAGATGTGCTGGGTGATGCCAACAGCTGTTGACCAAGAAAACAACACAGGCAGCACCCCCCTTAGCCAAGGTTCTCCCTCACTCCTTGTCCTCACCTTTCTCCCATGGTGTGGTGGCTACAGCATCCATCTTGCTCTTTTCCATTTAGTTTGTTGGCTAATAATTGGGAGTAAGGGGCTGTGGGGTCAATGGCCCTATTGCCTCACAGGGTTCTCAGTGCACAGCAAGGAAGCAAAGGGAGGGCTGGAGAAGGCACAGAGCAGCAGTAGGTTGGGAACAGAGAAGGAGATAATAAAGGGCAAAGGAATTGGGTCTTTGGGAAGGATGGGAATAGATCCATGCAGGGGGATGAGAAGGAGGAAAGCTGCTTTTTAAAAGCCCCACTGCACAGTCCTATCTGCACAGAGCCTCACTGCAACCTGAGAGCATCGGTGCCAGCAGGTGATGGAGCTGGGTGGAAGGCGTGCAGTGGGACAGCTCAGTGTGCCTTACCCCTGTGCCCCCTGGTTTTCCCATGCTGGAAGGAGCCCTGTAGTTCCCCCGCTGTAGCAAAAAAAGCCTTCCTAGGTAAGTGTCTGCACTGCCAGGCGCTGGACCCAGCCGTAACCTCTCTCTCTTGCGGTGTCTCGCCCACCCCTGCTCCCAGAATGAGGATCAAGGTCTTCGTAGACGTAACGAGCGAGAGTGGACAGTAAGTTGTGGATGGGTTTGCTTTTGCTTCTCTCCATTGTGGGGTCTGTCTGTCTAGCTCAGCCATTGGGCTGCTCCCCTTATCCACCTGCCAGCAGCTCCTGGCCATGCTCGGACCATTGGCACAAGCAGGAGCAAGGCAGGCATTGCCTAATCCATCCTGGGAGGTCTCACCTCATCCTCCCCAGGGTGGGGGATTTTATTGTCAGCAAAAGGACAGTAATCCTCCAAATCCAAATTTGGAAATCCTCCCAGTCTCTCTGAAGCAAAAATAAAGCCAGTCATATGGTGCTTTGAAGGTGTAATCTCACCGCCACAAAATCTCCCTGCGAAGGCACACGGCAGATCAGGGCGATTTTTGTATGCTGCTTTAATTATTTCCTCCCCCTTCACCTCCCCGCACTCCTGTTCTCAGCTTTATTTGGGAATCTCTTGTCCCCGTTACAGCAAGAACAGCTCAAACCACGAGACTTGCACTGAAATCCCGGCCAATTAGAGAGCAGAGTTCAGATTTCCAGCTCTGCTTTCTGAACACCCCTATAAACCCACTGTAATACTGAGCTGGAGATATCAGACAATCAGCAAGTGCTGCCTCAGCTCCCAATTACTCCATTTCCTCCCCATTAATGCCAAAAAGTTGCATGAGCATCCCCCGTTAAACAGCCCCATCTCCAATTTGCAGGAGAAAAAGCAAAGCGTGGAGGTGGCTCCTCATTAGCTTCCCATCAGTAGGATGGGGGTTCCACAGCCCTGATAAAGAGTAGAGGGGTTGGCACATAGAGAAACACCATGGGAATAAATGCTTAAGGTTACAGATGGTCTCTGATGCAGTAGGAACAGAGAGCAGGTAAGTGGCTGCTGTTGGAATACAACCTTACAAGTGTGCTCATTGCATAAATAATGCTTGCACGTGTCTGTGGGTGCATCCCTCATCTGTGCTCCTTCTCTTTATTCTGAGGATTTCAGCTCTGGGATGTTCCAGAAATGAGAGCAGGAAACTGGGAAGGAGTTCTTCACTTTTAGACCGACAAGAACAGATTGAGTACGTTAAGATTATTGGGTACTGTGAGGTCAGAGGGAGCTAGAAGTACTGTGGAGATACCTGAGAGGAGAAGGCAGGTGAAAAAGAAATGGGGAAGGTTTGAGGGCACATCATAGCAGAAATCAGAGCTAATTCAATCAAATGAAGACCATTTAAAGGTAATCTTCCAGGCTGTCTGAAACAGACGGACTCCTGACATCCCCTTCAATCAAAGCTCTTGGAAATAGAGCTGGGGGTGGGCGGGGGAAGGATGTAACCCAGATAATGAAGAATTTTACAGAGCCACGTTGGAAACAAAGGCAATGAGGAGAAGTCAGGTGGGGGAAGGTGGCAGAGTTGTGTGCCAGTTCAATTTAATTAGTTCATTATCCCTAATTTAATTTCAAACTTTGTTAGAGATAAATTAGATTGGAAAAAGTCACAGTGGGAATGGGGAAGGAAGTCAAAGGGCACTGGCTGCTAAACACGTTAATAAACATCAGGCTGATTCTGTTCTCATCCCTTTTGCTACGTAGATAAGGAAACAAAGCAGGAGTGATTGCCTGCTGGCTTCACACACTGAGAAAAGTGAAGGCAAATGGGGAACCCCTTCCTCTGCCCCAGCACTGGGGGTCTCCAGCTGCCCTGCTCTGAGAACAGAACACAACCAGAAAGAAAAGCAGTGCTCGTCTGTACTCACCTGGCCAGAAGTGCTGACAGAATGGCATTGGTTCTCTCCAGCCTTGCTATGTGGATGGTTCTTTCAGGCCCACACTGCACAGACAGAAAGATGCGTGGTGTGGTGGACCATAAGCAGCCAATAACGCTGTATCTCACAGCCCCTTCTGCTCCTCTCACTGCTTGCTGCTAACAACCAGTTTGGCTTACACAAAATATCCGTGTGTGTTAAATGAGAGCATATTTTCCATTAGACCTTTCTGTCTGTGAGACCTATTGAGCCCTCGTGCTTGTAGAAAGCCCTCTGCTTTCCTACTGCATGCCCAAAACTATACAAACCTGCCCTCCTCTTTGAACAATAATAGTTTGCTAGCCAGGCTAAGATCCCCTCTTGCCTGCCATATCTCACTAAGGTTCAATCTTTGAGGTCACCTCCCTTTCAGGTTACCCACCAGTAACTCACCATGCAGGAGGAGATCAGAGCTGGCACCTTTTTCCATCCCCATCAGCACACAAAGGCATTCCACTGCTTTCAAAGTACCCTGAGCACAGGGCACACTATTATACAGGAAGAGATCTTCACATGTCCTTAGGTGCTAACCTTTCTCTATCCCATTTTTATCACCTGATACAATCAGAGGAATAGCAATCAGCTGTTCTCTATTCCCTTCTTCCCTTATGGTGTGGGTTCCTGTTGATGCTGTGTAATTGGGATAGATGTTACTGCCTCTCTGAGTGTGTGCTGCCACAGGGATGTGAGAGGTTCATTGTAAAACAAGTTCTTTACACTGAGGGCAGTGAGGCACTGGCACAGGTTGCCTAGAGAGGCGGTGGTGCCCCATCCCTGCAGACAGCCAAGGTCAGGCTGGACGGGGCTGTGAGCACTGCTGAGCTGTGGGTGTCCCTGTGCGCTGCAGGGAGCGGCACCAGGCGGCCTTCAGCTCCCTTCCAACCCAATCCATCCTATGGTCCTATGAAAACCTCAGGAGATAGGTGTGGGAATGACACCCAAACGTCAGAGATACCAGTGCATAGAAGGGAGCTAGAGCTGTCCGTCCAGCTCGAGACTACTGACTTCAAACATCTCCAGCAGTGGGACGCACCATTTTACCAAGGAAAGAGAAAAGAAAGTCAGGTTGTCCTTAGCACTGCAGCTAAGTCCCAGTGCTCTAACTTCTCACCCTCCCTTGGCCTTTTCTGCCTTTGGAGCACCAGCCCTCCAACCTTGCTGCCTCTCACAGCAGTCTGAACCATCAATAAATTATTGTCGACACTTTGTTTTCTACATGATTTTTTTGAGCGTCCTGGTGAAATATTTATCCAGGAACTGGCAGCAGAGGAGTTGAGTAGATTGCTCTGTTCCTTCAGGCTTTTTCTCCTGAGGGTCAAATCCTTGTCCTCTTCACTAAACCAACTGTTTGTGCTGTGTTCTAAGAGAGCAAGGAAGGACTCAAGGGCAAGCTACTTGCTTCAGCCAGCCCCAGAACAAACCATGTGCATAAAAGGCTGTTGCTGGTGGGTTTGCTGCCTCTTGGAGATGAGATTAGCCTTTGGTGAATGCAAGGTCATGGTTAATCCAGCTTGGGTCATTTTGCAAGGCTTCAACATGGGAAAGAGCGGTGAGCAGGAGGGAGCATCCCACCTCTGCCACCCCATGGGGAGCAGCAGGGATTGCTTGGAGCTGCTCTGAGCTCCCATCCTGCAGATGTTTTACATTCTTCACGGTTGCTTTGACTCACAAGCCTGGTGCTGAGGCTGACAAAGGAGCTGCTCGCACAGGTACGGCTCAGCACTTGCTGCTGGGTAAACATGGGGCACAATAACCTATTGTACTTGCAGAGCTGCTGGTCAGACAAATGTGCCCTTTTGTACAAAAGAGCACAGGTCTGTGTTGGACCAACGATGCATACCAGCGCCACTGTTACAAAACTCAGGTGTGGATGAGTTAGGAAGGCTGTAAATAGACTGCCCTTACCTGCTTACCGCCTGCTGTATTGAGAGAAGCAGAGACCATACAGGCAAGGAGCAAAGAATGCAAAGCATATACGTATTCTTTATCCCGATGGATATTACAGGAACTGCGGCAGTGCTGTTGAAATACGAGGTTTTATCACCCAGCTTTCCATTTTTCCGAAGCAGCAAGCAGAACTGTTTAATTTCCCATCCTACCCGCTGTATGTGAGCCTCAGCAAGGAGCTGAGCCGCGTGTTTTACAGGCGGCGGAGTTCTCACCCTTTGACTTTTGTCTCTGCTTACAGAACTTTGGAAAGTGTCACTCAGAGATACCGAATGCGAGTGATTACCTGACCCGCTGCTACTCACACGACGGCCGCTATCTGCAGAAGATCCCCCACCTCTACGCCCCGCTGTCAGACCTCCCGCAAGATCTCTATCCTCACCACTCTGACATCTCCTTCTGCTGCCCTCCTCCCGGCTCCCGGGCTCCGTACATCTGTCCTAAGGAACAGTATGTTTAAACATCAGCACGGAGAAACGAAGACGCTCATGGTTTTCACTCCTCCCCACCCCACCGCTCAACAACCAAGGCCTTTTAAACCCCTCTTTGCCATTTGCTTATTTATTGATTTATATATATATATTTTTTAATTTGGGTGCAATTGTAAGTGACTTGGTTAGGTTAAGTGTCTGCCTGGCTTCTTCATGCCTAAGGGAACACTCTGCCTTCACCCACATCTCATCCCATCCCTAAGACTCTCTTTCCTTGTGCTGGCCCTCCTGTACCAAGCTGGCTACGTGCGTGCATGTGTATGTGGGTGGCAGCTGCCCTGTGTTGGATGGGATGTGCCCAACCCCTGATTAAATGTCCGTAGGTTCCCCTGTGTCCATCTCCACAGTTTGCACCAGAGTAGCCAGATGTGGATTCTTCACGACCCCTTTGGAGAAAATGGTTTTCCCCATTGGCAGATAGGAGATCCCTGTTGCAAAGAGATAACCAGCCAAGATTACTGAACCAAATAATAAGATGCTTCTAAAGAAAGATGCTCAAAACCAACCCAAGAAGAGAAGGGGGGCTTGGTTTAGGGATTGTGTATGTCCTTCTTCCCTCCTGCTCCCACTTCCAATTGCTAGGATTGGCTCTTTCTAACCCAAATGCATCAGAGAAAGTATCCTTTGAAGAACCTTCTTAGAACCTGAAACCCAGAGGGGAAAAAATTAGAAAGGAAAACGATATCTCTCATTTTCCTTTTCAGAGCCTAGTGTGATCCCCCACTAGCTTTTCCCCCTCTTCTCCTTGCATTTGTTGATTGGAATTTCAAAATGAACTCAGGCAGAATACGAAGGAAAAAAAATCATTATTTCAGGTAATCTTCTTACTCTTAATGAAGGATAAAAGCCAACAGAGGAATCTGGCCTTTTAACCTTTTTTAAAGCATCTTAGTTTGGGGACTATATATTTTTTCTAATATTTGGAATGTGTGTGGGTATGTAAATCCAAACGTGTACATTCCTGCAACCATGAAGTGTTTTAGAGAAGGGAATTTATCTCCACATCACATTTGTGTTCACTTGTATTAGAGGACAAATAAATATAGAGATACACTTACATGTATATAAAAGCAAAGAAGAGGAGAAAGAGGAATGAAAACCTTATAAGAGAGCTTGGTTTTGAGGATAACCTTCACCTGCACCCTCTTGGGGAACAGGCATTTGCTTTCCTTTGTCTCAGGTTGGGGATTGGACATTCTGCAGACAGCATCACTGCAGACACCAGGAGGATGTCAGAGTCAAGATTGGGGGGAGTGGAAGGAATCACAGCACCACCCTGCTGCCCAGGCACCAAACTGAGCTCCAGTGCCACTTCCACCAGTGAGCAGGCCACCCAATGCCCAGCTCACTGCAGGGTGAGGGTGCTGACCTGCATGCTGTCCTGGGAGCTGCCCAAGCACTCTGCCACCTCTTTATTTTTGTATATCCAAATTTGAGCAGCTGTAGTTGTTCTATGCACTTTCTTTGTTCCCATCACCTCGAGCCGCCATGGGACTCACCCTGCTTGTCCTCCTTTCTGCACAGAGAAGCACAGCCTCGCCGAGTCCCTGCAGGCATAGATGAAAAAAGATGGGAGGTGGCTGAGGGTCCTGCCTGGGTGGCAGGCAGGGTGCAGGCAGAAGGATGCTGATGCCTTTTCCAGCTGAAATAGGCAACGCCTGCACAGCACAGCAGCTTCTCTGTGCTCCAGTGCCTGTGGTTCTCCCATGCCCGGAGGGTCAGGAACTGTAGGACGTTGCCTTAGAGTATGAGGTGCAACTTTTCCAATGCCACCCTATCAGTCTTGACTGATTGAGGCCTTTCTGGAGTCATCTGGGCTCCTATTTCAGTCTCCAGAGAACTCAGCCAGGCACATCCCTACACCGATGGACCTGAGTGCTATGTGTCTTGCTTCAGATAACGTGTTTTTCTCCCTTTTGTTTTCTTCTCAACACACCTTGGAGCACTTTCTGGCTGTCAGATCTAGAACCAGGTGTGCTCTGAGCTGAAGCCACAGCAGCACATCCAGCCCAGTGGGGGAGACCATGCTTTGGACTCTGCCAAGTCTGCTTTTGGTCACCCTGTTAAGAAAAACGGAGCAGTGCTGGAAAACCCTGGGATCTCTGATGTCCTGGAGCCAAACCAGCACCACTGTTGAGAGAAAAACCTTCCACATTTCCCTGTCTGCATGCCTGTAATAGCAGGATGCTGCCTTCACAGCAGCAATTAAGGTAGATTTGATTGGGAGCCTTCGTATGCTGCAGTTTCAGCCGGATCTAAACATTTAAATGGGAAGTGGAATACAGTCAGGTCTTCAGGTGCATTAGGAAAAAAAAGCTAGGGGAAATGGCTGTTTGCCAGACAGCATTTTGCAAGTGGCTTCCTCTGCTGCTGGTGGCTGGAGGACGGTGCTTTGAGGAGGGGGGGGGAAGCAGAGGCACAGATTGCAGCATTACACAGAGCCCATGTGCGCCTTTGGATTGGAGCTGCCCACAGACAGCAGCCACAAAGGGTTTTACTGTGCTTTTCAGCAAAGCAAAAGGATTTCGGTCCTCCTCAGGAAGGGGAAAAGCGAGAAAAGCCTAAATTCAGTGCAGCCTCTCGACAGTACAAACGTTAAGCCTAGGGATGCTTTGGTTCTCTTTGCCTCTTAATGTTCTCTCCTCTCCTTAAGAAACGCGTTGGTCACAAAGAATGGCAAAAAAGAGAGTCTGTGCACACCACTGAATTGAGGGAAGAGGCAAAACCCCACCTGAAGAAAGAGAGCACTATTCGAGCCATTTGTTTTGGTTTTACAAAGCCACACTTAGCAATGTTCTGATTTGTTGCTCCAAGTCCTCCCTCCTTCCCCGTGTGGTTTGCCAAATGGCCGCTTCCAAACTTTGCTGGACCTGATGCCAAGGGCTGAACGCTGGCTTTGCTCCACGCTGAGGCTGCCCACGCTGACCTTGCAGGAGCACAAACCCGGCAGTGCTGATGGGAGGCGTTCCCCTCCTGCCGCGGCGTGTGCTGATTTGCAAAGATACTGCTCTGGGAACAGAAACGTTGCTGGGTGGATGGCTGAACAAGTTGAGCAGGAAACTGGGTGAGTTTGTGCTAGCAGAGTGCATGGGGAGTTGGGTGTTATTCCCCATGTGAGACATGAAGCCATTCCTCCTGTTGCTTTGTACATTTGAAATGTGGCAATTTCTGTTCCACGCGCCGGTGGCATTGACACAAGAGCTCTTGCAGATGGAAACGACTGATCACAGAACTTAAATAAAAGTGAACTGAGGAGTTATAACAACCTGTCTTGGCTGTGAAACTTGCATCAGGCGCTTGACCTCTTCCTTTCTCCCAGTGCAGACTTAGTCCTGCATTGTTCACTGCATCATCACCCCCTGCACACTCATATTATGTAATATCCAGGCTTGCACACCCAGGAGGGCAATGCCTGGAGCACATTGCTTCTGCAGCTCTGCCCTGAGAGCCACACAAACAGAAAGAACACCCTGGTGCCCCAGGGGAGATGCCTTCCCTATTCATTCTGTTACCTTCTTGGGAAACCTCCTCCATGCTTCCCAGTGCGAGTGGGTGGAAGAGGCTCAGAGCCATCGGTGGCCCTACTGCAGGCCAGCAGCTATTGGGGAAAGGAATGGGATAAATCATCTCTCAGACTCCCTCCTCTCCAGCCTACTTTTTCTACAAGCACCCCAATTTCCATACCCACCTGTGAGATGAACGCTTAAGGTGACAAAGGCACCTGCCTTTGTTTGGAGGGGCTGCTTACAGCCCAGAGGGAAGGGAGAGCCAAGAGCCCTCCTCTCCCCCAACCATCATACAGGGAAGGCAATACCTACACCTCTGGGGTGTGAACCCAAACCATCTCTTCCTTAGAAGGTGCCCAATCAGACAGCTTTGATCAATACACTATTAGAGAATTTTTAGCACAGACCACTAATGGTGAGAATGGGAAATCTTCAGGGTAAATTTGTAATAAAAAAGCTCCACTGCACGTGGATAGAGCCTCTGCTTCTGGATGAAGATCTTTTGAAACAGTTCTGCTCCAGATCTGGGTGGGCAGGTGGCAGAGCAGTTTCTCATAGTATAGGAGCATAGGAGAGCCCCCACCCACCCATGGTCCAGGGCAGCACATAGATCCAAACATGGGATGTGGAAAGCAGACTGCTGGCAGTGCTACCATCACTTTGCCCTAAGCCAGACAGGTTTATCCTGTCTTGCCAGAACCTGGCACCTCCCCTTGGGACTGTTTTTTGAGAAAAGAAGCCAAGTTCACCTCGGCCTGGTGCCATTTGCACAGCGGCCCCCGCTGCTGGGGCTTGCTCAGAGCTGCAAGGGCACCCCAAAATGCACACAGCTACATGGGGTGCTTTGCACGGGTTGGGGGGATGATTCTGCTCAGACAAAGGTGCTCCCAAATTCAGCTTTTTTCTTATTTCCCCTCCACGACTGGGTGTGGAAGCAGGTCAGCACTTCAGATGAGCTTTGAGGTCTCTTCCTCTCATGTCCATGTGCTACGATCGATGCCTCCCTCAGAACATAGAAGCCACTTAGCATGTACTTAGAAATGTAGGCATAAATCTATATGTGTTAAACTAAAATATTGTTTTTACCAACACTTGGACTGTACAAAACACGTAAAATGCATCAGAATACTCCTATAGCTGGAAAGATGCTGCTTTATCCTTGGAGCTAGCCAGCTTTATAAAGAGCTTTTCATACAGCAGCAAAAATAGGCACCGTGGAGGGCAGACGATGCACCGTGAGCATGGAATGGAATGGAGGAGCTGCAAATTAAAGGAGAGCGCAGAGAAGAGCTGCATTAAAGATTCCACATCTCTGTTGCAAACAGGGATGGCTGATCTCTTTCTGCTATGCTGTCATGCTCTATTTTCTTTCTCTTTATGTCGGATGGGAGGTGAGGCTTTAAAATCTGCCAGAAGTTCATGCAGCCACAGTCCTCCATGTGAGCAGCACCTCAGACTGAAAGCTTCCTCCCAGCCTCCCTCCCCCCCGTAATCCAGGCTCGAGTACCATCATTTTCATATCAGTACTAATTACATTAATTATTCTCCTCAGTATAAAACTCATTAAGCTGGAATTCATGGTTCATTAACTCAGAGCTCCTTCCTCATGCAGCGGTGTGGGGCCAGGGTTATTTCAGTCCTGGCTGGAGGCAGGTTCTAATCTGCATCCCTGGGTGCTCAGCATCTCCACAGAGGTGGGAACAAAGCTGTGTTTGCAGACCACGTAGGCATGGGGATATCATAGGTACGGGGAAGGAGTCTCAGAGTCCCTGCCTCAGAAAGAGTGGACAGGATTGGCACAGGCTGCCCAGGAAGGTGGTGGGGTCACCATCCCTGGAGGTGTTCAAGAACTGTGGAGATGTGGCTTTTGGGGATGTGGTTAGAGGGCATGGTGGGGGTGGGCTGGGGTTGGGCTTGGGGATCTGAGAGGCCTTTTCCAAACTTAATGATGGGGTGACGGTAGGCAAGAAGGCTCCACTTCCACCATCCCACCGAGGGATACTTCTTCTTCCAAAGGGTAACCAGGAATGCTCTTTCACTGCTGCTGATGTCACAGGGTGCCTCATGGCATCCCGCACCCAGCACAGCTGCTCCAGGAGATGGAGGCTGACAAGCAGGCTGACCTCCTAATGGTTTTGGCTGACAGAGAATCCATTTCCTGAGAGCGGGGCCTCCTTCACACTGCGCAGGTTTGTACCACGCTCCCTAATTACTGTAATTAAGCAGTCATGCTGAGTGATGTTAGACAGAGGGTTCAGAGTCATTAGAGGCCTGTAGAAGATTAAACCAGTCTTGACTTCAGTGTCTGAGCTCCTTTTGGGCAATAGAGATGGGAGCAGGAGACTGAGCTTCATGACACGAGGCCTTGCCCTTGTCAAATGTGGCCATTGCAGGAGGGACAGCAGCTAATCCTGCTCGTTCTGCAGGACCTCAGCATCCTTCCATCTCCTGGAGATGGACTGTCGTATTGAACTGCAGTTCTGAAGCTCTGGCAGTGAGAAGTCACTGAGACTAGCCCAGAGATGATGGCTGAGTGCCTATTTTGTCATTTGTCAAGCACCAGAATAAAAATGCAGCTGGATTTGCTCAAGTGAAAACATCCTGTGGAGCAGAAGGGGTTCAGCATCCTATTCTTCACTTGGTGTCCATCAGTTATTCTCTCTCCTGGTCCCCTCGAGCCAGGAGGACTGAGGTTAGTCTATAACCGTGTATGTCAATACCGCAGTGATCATGGAGCTGAAATCTGTTTCTCTACAGATTTATACAGCAGCCTGATTAGTTTAGCAACGCGCTCCCCAAGGCGCTCACTGACAATGGCAGAGGGCTGGAGACAGCTCTGTTAGTCCCACAGCTCTACTCCTGCTCCCCTCAACCTCTTATTTTTCCCTTGAGGGCACCGAGATGAGCTTCTGTTCACACAGGTAGGAAGACACGCTGCGTGCAAGAGACTGGCTCAGTTCATATACAATTGGCATCTAATTCATTTCTCTGCGAATGTGAAAATCAATACTGTTTACAGAATGCACAAGGGCTCTTCAATCGGTCAGTGTCCTTGTTAAATTCGGTTCTGGCTGCCAGGAGATGATTCCAGGAGCTGATTCTATGAGATGAAGAAGGAGAATAATGGTCCTATCACTCTAATGAACCCTGAGAAGACTCTGAGATTCTGCCCCTGCCCTCGCTAGATGGAAAGTGGTTCCGAGTAATCAGCTTGATGGGATGGACTGGCTCTTCTTGGAATTTTGCCCGGCTAGTCCAATTCTGAGCCTTGGTTTTTCTCCAGTGGAGGTCAAAGTGTCTTCTTCCACGTGCAGGAACATGCATCTCTTCAGCGCTATTTACTCGTGCAAATCTTGTGGGTGAAACCATGGCAGTCCCATTTGGTCTGCCCCAGAGCATCACAGCTCCACAGCTCTTCGCAGTTTCCCACACAGCTAACTTTATCTGTTGAAGCATCTTCCGAACAGAGCTCGATCTCCACGTTCCTCTCGCTCTGCCTGCAATAGGAGCAGCCCCGCGGTCAGCGGCTCCAACTGGAGATGTTCCAGGGCTCCACAACTCTTGACATCCTTCCCACCTCCATTTATCCTCCCGTTGAGTCATCAGCTCTGTCCACAAATTCCGGCATCATTCTCGTGCCGCACTTCCAGCAACACCAACCCAGCAACCACAGCCTCCAGGCTGAGGGCTCCGATTCACAGCCGCTCCTTTTGCGCTGCTCCTTCCAAAAGCCTACACAACCATTACCAATGTTCCACCCTTGCTTGTTGACAGTGAGCCAGATGGAGTGTGATTGCTCCTTATATCTAATGCTACACATCCCTGCAACACCAGCCATCTTACTGTTGTCTGGACTTCAGGACCAGAAAAACCTTTCTTTTCCATTTCCATAATAAAAATAATGCCCCCAGACTTTAAAGTTATTTCCCTGCAGGGCATAAAAGACAGTAGGGAATCTTAATGGTAAATCCAGAGTTCAAATTAATTCTTGTTCTGTTTGAGATTTTTTTTCTCCTTTCTGGAGGAGAAATTATTATTATTATTATTCTGCAAAATCCTACAAATGCAGTCATAGGACTCCACTGAATTTGTAGATTTTGTCTGAGCATTGGACTCTTCTGCTCCTATTCACTCTGCTAATTACCCTTTTTAGCTTGCTTTTGCTCTATTTTCACAGATCTCTTGGTTTATTTATATCTACCTATCTATAATGATTTCAGAGCCATTACTCACAGCAGCACCAGGAAACATTACATTTCCCAATTTACAATTGCAATTATGATATCCGTCAGAAACAAATGCAGCTGCCTTTAATTTTAAGCAATATTTTGATCATAATAATTAAAAAAGGAACTTATGGCATTGCACACATTAGAGAAATTAATATAATTTCCTGGCTGCCTTAAAAGGCATGCAAAGCAGTGGTTGCTGGGTGAGAGATATAAGGGGGGAAGTTAACTCTTTTGGTTGCTTTCACCACTCTTCAGGGCACACGTAGAGCCTTAATGATATTGTTCTTGAGAGTTAACTTCTCTGCAGGATTTAATACATGAGGTTTTTTGGCTTTCAACTTATTTTTCTCCTACTTTCATCTTTCCGAAATTGCTGGTTATTAAAGTATTTGTGTGCAAACAAGAACATTTTCCTGTCACTGTTCATTTAGGCTTGCTTGTTCGAATGCACAGGGACAGATGAAATCCAGTCGGTGATATTATAATCATTCCCACAATTGC